AAAGTAAATTTTCAGAAATCGTGCCAAGAATTTCATTAAAAATAAACTCCAAATATACTTTGTTCTTCAGAAATATATAAAACTAAATACATTATTTATTTTCAGGTGCTTTTGTTGTTTTTACATTAGTTAATCGAAACTATGAATACATATGCGTTTTTTAATTAATAAATATCCCGTTTTCAGGAAAAAAAAAAACAAATTGATACTTTATGTATATCTTCAGGTGAAACAACTGAAGATGATTTACTTCTTGTTACATATCAAGTAAAGAACGGAGATAGAGGAATCGAGTTGTCTTTAGGGAGAGACAGGAATAACAATTTTAAATGTAATTTTAAGGATCATCCCTCGGGGACGGCTATCCCTCTTCGGCCGATAGGAATGCGGACCAGATCGGCTTTATTTACTGCCCCCAATTGGACCGCATATATCAAATTGTCTTAGCAAACCGACCATCCATAATTCACCCCCGATGCTAGTAGGTTCGACGTGTGCGTTCGAATTTGTGTCCATCCGAGCCGGCTGGCCGCAAGCGCAGGATATGTGCAAAAAAGATTGTGACCAGGAGAAGCCCATCCTCGGTTAAACTATTTTAATTGAATTCCGAACTAATTTAAATGACCCTCCTGCGATGTCCAATCTACCGTGCTGGGTGAAAAAGGAAAGGGTGTTAATTAATTCCGTGCAGTAATTTGAAGAAAAAAATATAGAAGGGATGAAAAATATTACGAGGGGAAAATACATCGATTCCTTCTCTTTTTTGTTCTGATTCTAATAATCTGATCATTGAACTGAAATATGCTGTAATTGAAATTTTGTAGCTGGAAAAAGATTCATAGCAACACTACATTTGAATAAGACCTAGTACTGAACCTTGCAGTATTACAACTTAAATTAATACTTTCTAAACTTTTTATATAAATAATTAAAATATATTAATGATCTATTTTGTTTATTTTAGTTATTACTCAAATTTTATCTATTTTTAGTAAATTTGCCAAATATGGTAATTTTTAGAGGAATATTAACTATTTAACAACTTTTAATTGATGGTTATTATTCGTTTTATTAGTTATTTATGTGATTTGTTTATTTTTATTGTAAATATCATAAATATTTTGAGAAAGACATATATTATTATTAAATTTGTAAGAACTATAAGTGTTGTAAGTTTTAGAAAGGAAAATAGATACAAAAGTATATTAATGATGTGGCTATGATCACAGGAATGATGCACTTGACATTTGGTAAATGTTAAGAGGTTGTTTTCGTTGTTGTTTGAAGATGACACTGAAAAAAGCACACCCTCGTTTTAAAATTCATTTAGTGGAGATCGTGGCGACGAAAAAAGTGTATATGATGAGGAATAATGTAAAGAATCGATCCATTACGCCGCCTGAAGCGTCGACATTCCGCATCATCAATCAACGGAAGAGGAAGAAGAGATCGAAGCATGAAGAGGAGGAAAAAGATGAGATGACTGAGGAGAAGAAGAAGGAGAAAAAGATAATTCTATTTTGGAATAATGGTCCGTATTAAGTCTCGGATATAATAATAATGTAGAGGCGCACAAGTCATTTTCATGAAGAGAAGCAGATTTTTTTCCTCACGGGGTAGGGGGAGGGACGAACGAGAGAGAGAGTATTAATGTTCGGATAACGTGCAAGTCACCGATGCCATCATGCTAACAGGGCAATGGTACGATGTTGTGACGGCCCACTAATGAGATTTGAGAATATGCTTGATTATCTAAAGCCCTCGAAGTGAGGGCTTTTGACGAATGGCCCCCGTTACGCGGACGGCCCTAGGAAGCAGATCAGTGCGTTGGCACGTTCCGGCTATCGCGTTTCCACAAATCATCACTCACTGCGAATTATAAAACAATCCCGAAATTATTCCCCGGACGCAACAAATATCACTTTCCCTGCCTAAACAACGTCGATGCAATTGATCTAACATGACCAAGCGCAAATCCAAGTCTTCAATATTAAGGCTTCCTACAATTCCTACAACTACACATGTTGTATAAGCGTTTAATCCTAACAATTAGATGATTAAATTATGAATTGACAGCACCTAGGACCTAGTATGTATACTGATCAACTATGGCTATGATTCTCAAAGTGGGGGTCGCTGATCTATGGCACCAAGTTTAATTGCATTAGGCTACCTCAAGAGATTTCATTTAACTTTTCATTGACAACTACAACTACACGCGTTGTGTCAACGTTTAATCCAAAAAAATAGATGAATAAATCACAAATTGGTAGTACCTAGGTCTTAGTATGGATACTCATGGTAATAGCAAATATTGCTGATCATCTACAGCAGTGTTTCTGAAACTTTTGAGTTTGCAACCCCCTTTTGCGACCCCACGCAAAGAATGGGTATGTGTAAAAAAACATCCCGAATTGATCTGTGTCATTTATCTATAGCACCAAGTTAAAATATGGATTACCTTATGAGGTTTCAATAAACTTTTCATTGACATAAGAATTGATAAGCATCTGGTAGTTTGCGCAAACAGCAATCAAATGTGCATCGTTTCGAGTCGCGAACTGTGAATAGTAAAACAAGTAAGAATATGCCGATATATTATTTTTATGATGCGAAGTTTATGGTGAGGACAATAGGAAATACATATTAAATGTTGATTTTCTTTTAGCTTTACGATGTGAGGGGAAGTTATAGTTAAGAAAATGCAAAATATCTTATGATTGCAATAAATATGAAATATTTGCCGGCGTGCTCATTGTGCAAATCTTATAAAGCCCCCTGCATTTGGCTCAGATCCAGCCCGAAATGCACAAACGGCAGACGCCACTACTTACGATCTCTTCCTTTCCTTTCCTTATTCCCATCCTCCACCCACCAACCCAGCCCTTTTCCTCATCCTTATTGTCGTCCACCCTCCTTAACGCGTTGAAGGGTTAAAACGCAAAATTAAATTTAATGAGCTGTGCCGTTCCTACTGTCATCCCAATATTTACAGTCGACGTGGAAAATATAAATTTTAAATAATCACTGCCTACTATGAAGGAACGCTCCAAGGACTTCCTTCAAGTATCCCCTTTATTTCTATAATATTTTCCATTTCAAATGTGTATTTCTTTAAAAAAAATCTCATATTGCATAATCAATTAGTTAAAACCTAATCAATAATTTTATTAATTTACAATAATTATTCAGATTTTTTTTAATCATGTTGGAACAGTTTTTAAAACCAATTGAAAAAGCAATTCACTGTTGACCTTGAACTCTTCAATAAATTAAGTATGAACACCCACCTCGTTGCATATGCAATCAGCGAGGAGGAGCAGATTGAGTTAAGGCATGAATGACAATTCGTATGGATATAATAGAGGTTTGTTCGTTTAGTTTTTTGTCCTGTCATAGAAAAAAAAAATCCATCGTAGTCCTGGAATAGAGTTGTAATGACGGTATAAAGCATACCATACGTGTGTCTCTTTATTGCAATTTGCGACGCATGTGCTCGTAGCAGGCCGTAATGCCGCAATAAAACTGAAATGAAATAAAATTGAAAAAAAATATAAACTCTGAAAATATTATTTATTTTCGCAGACGCGCGAGCGAATTAATTAGCAACTGAACCAACAAAACTGATGGACCTCCGTGGAAATCTTAAAACAACAACAACAAAAAAAAACGAAGATTATAGGAATATACGTGCATTAAAGTCCGTTATATTACAGAGCGACTTAGTTTGCAACGACAAGCATATGTAAATCGCATTTAAATGGTAATTAAGTCATAACCGCGTCGACCAATTTGCATGTTTTATGAGTTGGTAAGTGGACAATTAATAAACCTTAATTGTTTATCGGAAGTTCCTTCAAACATCTCTACAGTCTATGAACATGTAGGTATAAGAAGGTATTAAAAAAAATGCGTAACGATCATATCTACGCAGGGCGTGAAAGCGCTTACATAATGCAATGCACCCTTACATAATATCATAATCTACGTAGCAAAAAAAAACAAAATTATAGAGATATATGTATGTAATTAACGAATATATTGATAAAGAATATAATAATCAATTAATAATCTACAAAACAGTTACAAGTTTGCAAACAAATGAAGTTTTAAAAAAATATTGGAAAAGTATGTTTATGTTTGGATTTGTAGCAGATTTGTCCATTATTATTTGTAGAAAAGAATGCGGTAATTACATTTAAAAAGTTCTAAAAACAAAGCAGTATTTCTGAAAATTACTTTTAAATAACTTCTAGTTTTAGTAATTAAAACCTAATTACTATTATTGAAAATGTTTGTCTTAATCATCATAATTATTATGATATTTAAAAATATTTATTCAAAATTCATTAATTTAAGTTCCTAAAATAAATTAAAATATATGACATTTACTAAATTATCTTTAAATTCGTTGATGTATTTTAAGCAGTGCACACAGGAATCATGTGGTTGCACCGCATCCATGGACCTGCGCCACGGGGATTCACACACGATTGCTGTCCCGATAAAACGGAATATTGTCCTAAAAAAGCGGAGTTGTGTTATTTTTTAGTTTTGTTTTCGTTCTTTAGGATTTGATTTGATTTGATTTGAAAACGGAATCGACTGTATTTAAATAAATTATAATAAAAAACAAGATTATAATAGCATGTATTCAATTTATTTATATCATTAAAAATTCTTATATAAATAATTATAAAAATAGAGAATAATTGTAAAGAAACATTTGTCACCTGATTTATCAATCAACGTTTATAACAAATTAACAATCTAAAGTTATTGGTTTAATTAAATACTTAATTAATATTTCACCAATATTTAGATTAATTTACTATTGTTGTTCATCGTGTTTATCCATTGCCAATAAAGCAAATAAAACGTAAATGTTTTAGGAACATAACAGTTTATAGTAATAAACGTAAAGGCAAATTGATGTAGTCTTATATAAATATTATTTTTTAACAAAACTATTTGTTAATCAAATTTTCATCTTTCTGGAGGCGTGAATATTGAAAATGTATATTTTCTACAGTTACATAATTATACGATTTTTATAAAAAAAAAAGTCGGACTATAAGACGCATTTTCTATGCAAAAAGGTGCGTCTTATGGTCCGAAATAAGTGGTCCGTGTACTACCGGTTGGTGACCGCTAATTTAGACTACAAAATAATTCTAACTTAAAATAGTCATTAGCTCTCAAAGGCTAACAAAAATAAAAATATAATAATAAACTTAATTCGGTAATATTATAGTCCATAATTCTTTCTCTCTTTAAATTCAAAACGCGTTGCACATAAAGCAACTTTTATTTAGGTTTAGGTAACTTTCGTGATCTAAACATATTAGTTGAGCAATGTTTTAATTTTTGTTGAAGTTTATACTTGATCAAATTAACGCATTCTAACTTTCTTCATGATCTGAAGAACCTGTAATCCTGGGAACGGACACGTGGGATAGAAGTTGTGACATCCATTGCCGTCTACTCCATTGATCAATTGACCCATGTGCGCAGCGAAGTGGTATTTGGAGGTCAGCTCTGCAGTTGTACTGATCGATGTATCCCTAAACAAAGAAAAAACGAAATTTATAATTTAAAAAAAAACATTAATAGAGTTTTGTAAATTTCAGTTAAGTTGGTCTAGGTTGGGTTAACAAAAGATGTTTAAATAAAAAAGAGAAATTTCTTATTTTTGTTGGAATTTCATAGAAAAATCGGCACAATGTGGGTTATTTGCTTTAAATATTTTTGAGCTCGTATTAAATAAGGAAAGTTGTTATGCGCTTAACCTATTGAGTCAGAGAAGGCCGTGCAGAAACCGAAAGTAATTACGGAACCGACGCGTCGACTTTCACTCTGTCGTAATAAATAAAACATTGTTACATGTCGGTTGGCGGAAATATTATTTCATAGCTATTGTGCTACATCGAGAAAGTTCAATATTCTGGACGCATTCGATGCACGCAACGAGCGGAGAGAAGAGCACAAATAAACAACACCGAAAACCGTTACGAAGGTCAAAGGCCAAGAGGAGACCGAAAATATAATTATAATAATAATAACAATAATAACAGAGAGATGTTCAAGCTGAGCGAAAGACTAATGCTGCACTTGCAATAAATACGTACGTAATCGCTTACATAAGCAGCGGAACTACATTTATTTATTTATGTATTCTTTCGTATGCGTCGAATTGGGTGATGAAACTTGTCATGCATTACGTGTGTAAATAATGATTGTGAAACAGACGACTAGACGAAATAACGTGCGCAGTGAAAGTGATCATTAAGTGCAGAAGAAAGGAACAAACAAAAATTTAATGGAGAAATTCTAAATTTGTATTCACAAATAAACAAACAAATTTTTAATTAAATTTCTGTCCCATGATTTGTATATACAGAAATTAATATTAAAATTGCGCAAAAGCAAATCCGTATCATTTATTAGAATGCTCAAGGTTACGCGTAGCCTTTGGCCAATCAAATCCGACAAATGGATTATCTATTGCGTCTTATAAACGTAATCAATCCTTTGGCAATTTAAAATTGAGGTTACTTATTCCCAAGAAAATCGTTTATTTTTGTATATTGTCTGTAAGTAATTATAACATTATTCACGTATCGCAGATCACGAAAGGCCAAGGCTCATGCAATTCAAGTTTTGTTTTTTTTTTATTTCTTGACTAGACTATCGCGCAAGTTTTTGTTTTGCAAGTGCCTTAATTCAATGCATTCGTTCCTGTTGCATCAATGATGACATTTATTTAATTCAGCCGACGTTTCGTAACAGCAGCTGACCCTACTGTGCGTCAATCAAGTCCATAACGTGTGGCCCAATTAAGTGATCTTACTTAACAAGCATGGGTTAGGTAAGTAAATGCACTTGCAATAAATTGCATCATTTATTAATACTATGTAGTTGCAATTGCACTAACGTTTTATAACCTCCAAATGCTGTATATACAAATTTAGTTATATGAATGTTAACAATTCTACTTTATATAAGTATTTGTTTATTGTTTTTAAACAAAATTCGTTATAACATAAATAAACAAATTTATAAAGTAAGAGGTCTATTTTTCTAATAAATAAGCAAATGACCTTATAGTTTTATCAAAAGTCATTTCGCCTTGACCAAAAATTAATGTGTACATAAGTTGACTTACCTTATTAAGGATAGAAGTGACTTTTCGGACTCGGTAAGCTTGTCCTTTTGTGGAGTGGCGTTCAGTTCGCAGATGAGTTTCGGTAGACAAGCATTCTTGATGGTAGCCAGGATCTGGGATTTCGAAGAGTGTCCACCTGGAAGTAAATAAATTGCGTAAGAATGTAATGGTTTAAGTTTGATCAAATTACCTAATTGTCTGAGCGTTTCATCCTCAATGTCAGCATCTAAGTCGATGTCAGCTTTGTTATCACCATATCCAGGATTCGTTGGCCTGGGTCTGGAAGGATCCTTAGCTCCACCAAGCAACTTGTCAACGAGTCCCGTGTAGTCCCCGAGCAGTATCAGGAGCATGCAGAGCAAGAAGATGATGCGAATGATGATCTTACCAGTGGATGCCATATTATCCTGTTTTATCCTAGTGAACCTACTTGTAGCACACCACTGAGTGACACAGGTACTGACGGTGCGCGTTCAACGGTGAAAGTGAAACAAGACTGTGCAATAACACAGAGCCGCCAACCGAAAACTGCTTATGGCAGGAACGACCATGAGCCTGTTCCAAGTATTATGTCAACAGTAAAAGTCACAAAGTGGGAGAAGTTATGAAATCCCAGGAAATCCTACAGATTGCGGAAGGAATACCTCCCTGCATTTTTCAATTAGTTATGGGTGAGTATCTTTCGATTGTTCACTTCTCTCTCTCTCTCTGTTTTAGTTGTTTCATTTTGTAATCCAGGATGCATTATAATTCGATTTAAAGGTTGGACCGATAATTGTAGGGTTGCATGTCACGAGGCCTGTGAGAGCGCACTTATTGAGAACACATGTGGTCGCAGATCTCATGTAAATATCACCGCTATTAGGGTTATTAGACCAAATTACAGGATCAAAAAACCGACGATAACGAAAACAATTTACCAATAACCGAGGGTTGCGTTTTCCACTGTCTCTCACATACATATATTTTTATTCGGTCTATTTTCAGGTTCGGCTCCCACAGTTCCGTTCGTTTTCTTTTAATTAAATTATTTACTGCCGCAACCCGCTCATTAAATCTTCATTTAAATCACTTACCATAAATTACCATTGCCTCCCTCCTTTCAAATGCCTTCATTACCTCGACGTAACTCCACGTTCTACTTCTCTTTTTTTTTTGGTAGATTTCGCTTGTTTCGTCCTCCCTCTCCGAACAACCTCAACCCGATAATAACTTTTCAAATTTAAGCCCAGTTTAATCCTTACGGAGATTACAAATTTAATTAATAGCTCGAGTGAAAATTACTTTCCTTATAATTACAAATTCCCAATTCAAAAAAAAAACATTTTAAAATTTTCAATTAAATAATGTTTCTTATGTTTAATTTTTTTATTTATTATATATAAACATTTTTTTTTACATACTTTATATAAGTAACAAATACAAGGATAAATTAGGAATTAATAAACCATAGTTTCTTTGTATAAATATTATTTTTAATTAATGCGAATATAAAACTTTTGTAAAATGAAAAATTCTTGTGATCAAAATTTTCATATTGATTAAATTGAAGACGTTATATAAAAAAAAATTAAATAGATTTACAGAGAAGATTTTAAATAAAATATGATGTTAACAAAAACTTTAGAGCTATAAAAAATATGTTTTAGTATCAGGAAAATAATAAAGAAGTTTTGAGCAGTATACCAAGATTACGCGTTCCGAGGAGCATCCCTGATTACGTAATGGTAATCGCATTAGTCCTGTGTTTAATCCGGCGTGCATGTTCCTTTGTTGTGCGCCGTAGGTCCGGATTAGTGTGTAACATATTTGGGACAACTTCCAATATCCTAAGGCAATTCTGTTGAAATTGTCCAAGTCCAAATAAATTTAAAGGACCATATTTTTTTATGCAGAATCATGTAAGATGTAATGGTTGCAGTGGAGTATCAATTGGAGCGAAGGAATATATAGTTAATATCTTCCGACTTAATGGGAAGCATTATGCAAAGGATAGTTCGATTATCCGCATCTCCAATAATTACCTTGAAGGAACCCCTTTGGTGTAGAGAGATCGTTTGTATGGGCAATCCCGTTAAATCCACCCCTTAGGCAATAATAGTAACTAACTTGTGTGTTTACATTGGTTGCATGTATAGATTGACATATTAATATACTATTGCAATCCGAGAGCTTGTCATATGGAATTACGTCGGCCACAAATTACACGGTCCGCACTAATTGCACCATTCACACGTCCAGCGAGTGATTTTGAAAAATATACTTCTTGTCACTAACAAAAAAAAAATTGGGTCATCACTTGTTGTTGTTATTATTATTTTGGGGAGTTATTTTCTTTTTTGTTTAGAGTTACTCGCAAGATGGGTTTTTGTCGAATGATTGATGGTCTTCGCCCTCGGATCTCCCCTTTTGTACTCGTGTATGTGCGATATAATCGTGGCAAAAGGGCAGTCCGCGTGTCCGAGCGATTTTGATAGAAAACCGCTCTCTCCATCAATCTCCTTTTGCTACGTTCTTCACTCTTTACACTTGTCGGATGAAATATTGCCCCTGGATTATCAACTCCCAAACAAAACCCGGCAATTACGTGTACATTCTATCACACTTCATTCACATCATCTCAATTTTCAAGCCCTTACATTTATGCATACACAAAAAATCGCAAAAAGGATTTCAAAGCGAGTGCAACAAAATGTACCTTCTGCCTTTTTTTTTTATTCCAAAGGGAAACCGTTGTTCCACCTTTTGTCCGGGCATTATCTATCATACTTTTTCGGTACTAATTTAATTTGTCAGATTGATGCGCACCGATAAGGGCCCCACGAGCACGCAATTCGCATCTACTCACTGCGATCTATCTATCCATGGGCATAATGGAACAAAACAAAAAAATATATATAGACAACGCAATAAAATGGACTACCCGTTGAGATCTTGATTACGACACATAAAGAATGCTCCGTTTTCCATACTCACTCTATTTTTTTTTTGTGTTTCGTTATTGTTATTGTTTCACCCGCTTTATTTAGTTTTACTCTATTTTTTTCCCTTATTCTGTTTTTGACGGCTCACCCATTTTTATTCCTTTTTTTTTGGCCTGTCAAAGAGACACATCCTCAATAACTGTCGTGCGTCCGACTGCTGAATATTTTATTAATACGTGGCACCGTGCCATTTGTAATCCGAACGCATTTTCGGGACTACTTTCAGAAGGGGCTGTGACCTAAACCACCACTTAATGTCGCATAACTAACGCTCTGCAATATTTAGTAGATGCAATGCATCGCCTCAATTACCGTCTATTTGTCCTGAAATTACTACAACAGTTTCGCATATAGAATATTCTATAAGTCCAATTATGATATTTTACTCTATAACCCATATCACACCTTTATCCTTATACAATTTTACTCTTAGTATAACATCCAATTGTTTATATAACACCTACTACATCGGTTGGACATAATTACAATTACTTATTTTTAATGTTACCTTCGGACCATAAGACGCACCCAAAATTTGAGTCCATTTTTTATATAAAAAGGTGCGTCTTATAGTCCAAAAATACCGTATATGATACTCGCAGAAAATTTATAAAGTGCAAAAGACGGACACGGACCAAAAAGTATCCTCAATAACTGCATAGAGCTAAGTAATCAGTTGTCCCATCTTGCTGCCACCATATTCTAGGTGTGTTCTCTATAGCAGGAAATACAAAATATGTTAACATTTGGCGATACCTTTCGTAGGTAATCATGACAAACAGAGTTCTCCAAAATGTGTACATTATAATGTTCAAAATTATTTAATAATGAAAAGTAAAAAAGTTATTTCATTATTAAAGTGGCTTTTAACCCACCCTGTATATCTCAATATATAATTGACACCAATTTTTTTCAATAGAATTTAATTATTATTTATTTACTAATCATTTTTAAAATCTTTGTGTCTCAATTATTATTATTTTACTAATATTTTGATTCAATTATTATATTCTTTGTTGCATAAATTTAACAGTTCGAAAATATGTTGATTTAATTGATTTTAAGTCATTTTTCTAGAACTTTAACTCTTTGTCCAAACTTCAATATTTTATTAAACATTAAGTTATTTGATTTACTTTACATTTGGTTGTAAATTAAATTTTTAGTGTTTTATAAAGAAATATTATTTAGTTTAGCTCTAATTTATTTGAAATAATATCATTTATAATAACATTTTGATAATTCAGAATACAATTTGCTGTATTTAATTTGATAAATATATAAATGCAAATATCATTTATTTTTGTGGTTTTCATTTCATGAATTCGAGTTAATACGAATGGTTGAAATATGATTTGAATACGAATTTTCGGTTAGGGGTTGAGTCTATAAATCCGAATGTAATTGTGATTAGGAAGGGGTCATGGGAAACCGGACAAGTGTTTTTGTGGAAAGCAGATATCTGCGTGCCCCGTGTCATCATTATAACCACATAATAAAGTTGGGCCGATCATCGACCATTTGTCAACGCAGAACCAACCACCCACAAAATCCAACCCAAAACCAACCAAACCCACCCCTATATTAAAATTTCAACGCTACCGATATTTTTGTTTCGTCTGTTTCTATATATATATATATTTTTTTTTTTCTTCTGTTTTTGGTCGCACCTACAGCACCCGAATGTCATCACATCAATGCAGGTGGCGGCCCGGACAATTCCATTCCGATCCTATCAGCGCTTCGCACAGATAATTAAATGTTTTTTGTGTAAGCAATTATTCGTCATTGCATCCTTTTTATTAGATCACGCTATGTTTCACGTTCCACTGATCACTGGAGGTAGGGTGGCGCAACCACCACCAAATACCCCCCAAACCAATTCGGTCGAGGGTGGAGGAGGGATTTTGGTGGTCCGCCGCTTTTTCCGTTCGTCCGTCCGCACACACGCATAAATTTATGCACTCTAGATTACCATCAGATACATCAAATAACAACTGGAATGTTTGTACTCCATGAAAACCATCATTGATTTCGATCTGTGTTCAACAGCGACAATCAATCTTCACGTATCTACGGATTTCGTTAATCACGCACAGCACAAAATGGTTTCGTGTACTTGGATAATTCATGGGCATCCAATGGTCGTGAGCTATGCGTGTCCAGTAGGTACAGTAAGATGCAAATCCAGGAGGATCCGATTCCTTGTTTATGTATTATGATTATATATTCTAACGAATGCAATATTTTAAATATCTAAAAATAAATTTAACCTTTGTCCTTAAACATCCTTTTTTTTATATTTAACACATTATATAATAGACGTAAATCTGAATAACAAATTTGTATTTGGTCATAGCTGAAACAGAAACCTATCGATTTCTGCCCTATATTTATCAATTTTAAATCAATTTTCTTCTTCTTCTATTTTCACCTCCACACTTCACTTAATTACCAAAGTCAGGGGGGAAAACATGTGGAAAGACTACACGAAATAACTGCTTTCAAAACAGAGTCTCAGAGATTCAGTACAAGGGTGTTAAGAGAAACCTAGGATGGATAATGTACATTGATAATGTTCAATTTAAAAAATAGTCTATATATGTTTTCCAGCAGATTTTATGTTGGTTTGGTTGCGTTTGATGATTCCCCTTTCAAACTATCATCATTTCTAGGTCATTCTAACTCAAATATGACAATTAATTCATTATCTTCATTTACAAGTACACCCCGATTAACACGGTAGATAGGTTTCTAAGAAAAACGTGTTAATCGAAATTGTATTGAATGTAAAACCGTGTAAATCGAAAAGTATAAAAAAAAGCATATTTTCTTTTAAATCATTTAAAAGCGTAAAGAACCTAGTAACCTAGTAAAACAAGAAATAAGTTATTTTCAATAATTATTTTTTACTTTATTTTTTTAAGCCGTGTAAAAGCGAAAACCGAAAAGGAAGTACCGTGTAAAAAGAGGGATTTATTTTCTTTTGAGAAAATGTGATTTAAACAAACAAATAAATTACAGGAAATCGGCAATAGTTACAAATATGATAAATGGCATATTGTCAAATCTAAACATTTAACTATAATTTGCATACTCATTTATAATTGTGTCATGTATAATTATTGAGAAAATTGATAATTTGTGAAGACACTCAATTTTCCTAGGCTTAAACAACTTTGACAGTAAATTGTTACAAATAGTTACAAATATGACAGATGGCACGTTTAGCTTTAATTAATCACATTTATAATGTGTCTTGAAGATGTTCATCTTCCACATAAATTAATAGAATTTGCGCGCGCATTTTTATAAAATATACATAAACGCACATGTATTTGTCGAAAGTAGTGTGGACGCACCTATACACATACTCTTCTCTATATTTAGTATAAATTATAGATGAATATGATTGCATTTATACTAGTAATTCGATAGATTCCTAACATATTTACAAGCCCCTATGATCGGTTTCGTCTAAATAGATACACAAATATTTTTTTCGCTTAGCAACATGGAAATGATCAATTGATTCAGTGCGTTGCATTTGCCGAAGATTAGTTAATAGAAGTATTAGCATTGAAAGGACGCATTAGATAAATAATTCATGAGCCGTAATATATTCCATCACGAAATCTATCATCGTAAATTACCATAAATTTAATATTTGTATAGAATACATTAGGGGGAGTCCCCGGTCGCATTACACGGACCGAACGCCTTTTTGGCGGTCGCCAAATTGACCGGAAAAAATAATATATATACAGCAAAATGCAGATCAATTAATACTGCGAATTCATTATGATCCATCTATTTCGATCAAATGTGCAGTGACTTCCCAATTAGCTGGACTCTAAAAACTTTCACTTCCTCGCCGATTTACGGAAGTACAGTATCAACGCTCTTTCCGTACGCGACATTTTTACATAACTTTTTCAGCTTAATTGGTTTTATTGCTAATATGCTGTTAATTTTAATGGTTCATAATTACCATTCCTTCGAGATTGATTATTGATGTACATAAATAATTATAATTATTTAATAGCTGTGTAATAAAGAAAGCCAGAGTTTCAATTATTTCGTTGACCTTGAATTATAAAAGAAATCGCTTTCCATCGCGTTGCAACTTTACATAACGCCGTTTGTTTGAATAGACCACGCATCGGGTTTCAAAACAGGATTCAAGATAGAAACATATAAAGTGTACGTTCTAACTGGAGCAAAGGCACCAACCATCACAGAATATTGGCCTTTTTATTTACTTCTGCATCGACAACTACAGAAGCGAAGGACACGGCAACTGGAACAGTGCGTTTCTTTCAAGGACAATTAAAAGCGAACGCGTTTCTTTTGTCGCCGTTACGCAATCCTTATTGAAATGTTGTTAATGGTGCTCGCCGAAGAAAGCATGAAATTCTTCGGGGAAAACACTAAACAAAACGCTTCATGCTAAACTGCACATCACCTGACTGTATGGAGCGGCGGCAGTTGGGTTTCATTGCCGCCGCCACTGCCACGTACACACAGTTCTAAATGCAATCCCGTCGGTGCGGAGTATAAATAAGTATAAATGTAGATTCCGGGCGATTTCCTTCCGGGTCTGCACGCGCAAACGCTCGTTTTATGCAAACGTCCTGACTGACATTTCGGTTGGGATAGGTCGGGGAACCCATCGATACTGTCTCCATGCTGGAGACAAAGGTATTCATTCCGTCCTTTCTTCATAGTTAATGTACTGCATTTCGGTATCGTCGCACTCGAAATCTGCAAATGGTACAAACACATCACTAAAAATGTTTTACTCCATTCCACTTTAATAGCTACACTCATTTCCCTAGAAATGATATTTCTGAACATCAAATATTTCACATTCACAAATTACTTCTAAATATGTCAATTCTACAGTAATCGCATCGCATCGCAAATTATAGTACTTAGAAGTAGTTAACGGTTAGCTTACACACAAGCTATTAACGATACATTTCAAGGAACATTTACAAATCTATTATAGCGCAATCTTGCACATCCTAATTAATTTGCAGTTACAGATAATTGAGCTATTACAACTATGTTAGTTTTACCCGGGTCATTGCTAAATGCTCAATGAATTTGGACAAATTGCTATAAACTAATAGACTAATCATTCAAACATTTTGACATACGTAATAGAAAGACTTATAATAGAAAAAATTTCATGCAACATACATTGATACTGCACTTGCGAAATGATTGTAACACAATATACTTTGTAACATATTAATTACTGGAAATATGATACATAAAAAGTCTTCGCTTCATTTTAAGTAGATTAATTATGTTATCATAATACAATGTAAAAGAATCTATTAAGTAATTTAAGATCGTGATAAGCATTTTATCTATAACTGAACTTTTAAATTACATAAACAGTTTTAGTTACATTAAGTCTTTGCTTTCATGCATGATTCACAATTGCATGAAAACATCGTTTAATATCATACAATCAAATTCTACTTGCATCCAAGCTTATTTACTGTTTATAAACATGAAACAATTAATGACATTTTAGAAATCCAACTGGAATATATCAGAATGTAAATAAATTAATAAGACAAAACAAAACATTTTGTTTTTATTTGATTAATCTTGTGAGTAGTTTGAGAGATGTTAATTTATTGTAATTAAAATTGTTTCATACAATCAAATTTTCCATATATTTAAAGAAAATTAAATTTTAGTAAGAGGTTAACAACAATGTAGTAAGATATACTTCCATGAGTAAAGTATACTTAAATAATGTAATTGCATCTTGGTTACAGGCAATTCATTCGAGATTGACGTTTTCCTCGAACGGATTTTGCGATGGGGAGGAAACAGATAAATAAGATGCACGAAACGTTCCAGTTTAGGAAGGAGTTTGGAGCGCTTGAAATTGCGTCCTGGTAATGGTGCCATAAACGAAGAGCGGTCGGCTAATTAATGCATGATCATAAGTGTCCTGCACGATGTGCCGTATATTAGCTACGTGGTCTGACCATAAGCATGGACGGTTTATGGAAAACCATGCAATATTTCGTTTGGCGCGTTTATGGGCGACAGCCCGCCCATAACCGGACCATCGAAAAAGCTTACGTAACGGTCGGAGACGCGCGACCTGCATCGGTTTCGAGCAGGTTCGATTTCATTACAACAAACTATTGCTGGCGACTTTCGGTTTCGTTTTTAAAGAACGGTATTTGAATAGATAAACGCCTTTGGTATAAGCCTACCACCGTCCTCCTGCGAGGAGAGGTGGTCAAGTCACTTTCACCGATAACATAACAGAACTAAGACACCAAAGCGCCGCACTCAGTATTTTCACCTTGCTGTCGGCACACACGGCCAAAAAAAAACAACAACAACTTTTTTCTTTAAATTTGTATAAATTATACAGATTATATAATCTTCTTGCTATTATGGATTTACGGGCTGTGATCTTGGCCCTCGTGGCTTCGGTGTTCATCGTCCTGCAGGAAGCGCCTATGACGAAGGCGCAGCAGCAGCCAGCTTTTGAACTTCCTGTGGAACTCGTCGGTTTTCCTGTTATCATCGTTGCTGTTAGGTTGTCAAATTTCGTGAAGAAATTGGCTTACTCTCTGAATCCAAGTAAGTAGACGAGTAGACTATAACCAGTCATAACCAAATCCGTTTTGCCAACGGAACAATACCAACTTTCGCCTTGGACAATTTACACGACCGACTGCGCGCCGTCTAATCGCGACGTGCAGGTTCGCATTCCAACATCATCTCTTCCGAAAATCCTTTCACTTCTCTTTCCCAACTTCCTCAGCTATGCTACTACATTCGGTAATATTTGCAAAGCTACATAGGCTATCACCAAAATAACAGCTGTCGCAATCGCCGTTTGCAATTCTTAAGAAAGTTGTGAAACTCGGTATTGGGCAATTCCTTTTAGTTCGATAACTCTAAATTGAAGTACTATTACCTTGTTTTCACAATAACTAACCATACAATTCTATTGTAAACTACAACATTTTAGAAATGTGCATTCAATAAAAAAAATATTTTATTAAAATTAAATTGCACAATGTATAATTTTAACTCAATCCTATAGAAGGTAATGTTCACAATTATAATTAAATTACATAATCAAAAGCAAAATAAAAACAAGAAAATGTAACATAACAGAATGACACACCAAAGAATGTAATTAATTCATATTTTAAAACACATATTATTTCAAACTATCTAATGTCCTCGAACTAGTTAACTGTAAGTTTTTTATTTAAGATTTTAGTTTTTATGCAACAACAGATTTAGTTTTTAACTATATTTGAATTATCCAATTAATTAATAGAAGAGTAATTAATATAAGTAATTGAATAATTATTGTAAACATTCAATTTATATAACTTAAAAAAAGATTTAGAAAATGATTTTTTTCTTATAAATGCTTATTACGTAATATCAATCATAAGTAGTATTATAAAATGAAATTAGTATTCATTAGATTATTGTAATGCATTATGAAATTAATAATAAAAGAAAGATTTCAGTATTATTGCAATAATATTTTTTTATCAAGAAAATTCTTATATGTATAATTCATTAAATTTCGTAATCATTTCGTCAAATTGAGAAAAATACAGGATTTCTTAAATATTTTAGTATAGTTATATTTATGATTTTAAACACAAAATTTTAATAAGAAGTCTAATCAATTTAATAGAAAATAGTGATTATAACATGTATATTTTATGAATTCTATTATTAAGTTTTTTTTTAAAATTAAAAGTTTATTTGCTTGTTTATAATAGGTTGAGTGAGTTGAAGTTGTTAACGGAAGTTTTTATGATTATGAATAGATCACGCAATAAACAGTATATTGTGATGCAATTAACAGTTTAATTAATGTACAGTAGTCGTTGATGATGTCTGAAGATGGATAGATGATAGCTTAATTTGTGATTTGCAGAGACCTACGTGGGCCGGTCACGCAGAGCCGTGGATAGTGCAGATATGATAGATATGGCAGAGGCTGAAAAGCGATTAGTGACAGAACTGGGAGAAAACGTGTGCATTTATAGCCGGGTCTGTTTACATCATGCCGAGAAAGCTAGCAAATCTCTCGGGAGGAGCAGATACAGCCTTGATTGGGACGACATATTCAGGTAAAGAGGCGATAAATCAATTCGCTGTATATGTATATGTAGCCAATTGAGCACGTGACCGCAGGAAGCTGCGGCCAAAACGAGAAATCTGATCGAAGCCTTGCCTTGTTTTCAGCCATTACAAGTCATCGAACGAGAAGAATAAGGAGTTCTACCTCCTCAGCGTCTTCCTAGGCGACATCGTGGCCTCGCCTAAATTCTGCCGGCAATTAGCGAAGAGAGGACGCCAGTGCAAGGATTAACCTGCAGCAATCTTTAGTATTAACATCCTACGACTGCCTACCCAGGCTCTTGTCATGTACATAAGCTTACTATATTATTTAGTTTTCATTATAATTTCTTCTTCTTTTAGTTCTCCCAGTTGTTCATAATTTATTTCCTAACTAACCGGCGACTTTATTATTACTTTTTTTTTTTTTGTTAATTAGAGTTTTATTTTTTATTTAGATTTTACCAATGTTATTCTGTGTGTTTGTGAAGAGTAAATAAAATGGTAATTTTTTTAGTACGTTGGACTTTTGCGGTGAAATCGCAAACGTTTTTCGTGGGCTGACCTCTGCCCACGTGACTTTCATTTCGCACCGGAGAAATGTTTAATAAGTCATCAGGTCCTTGCCGGGATCTTTATTCCGGCGAGAACCGCGGCGTTTATCGGAGCTAACAGTATTTATTGAAAAAATGTGCGACGCGAAGTGGCTTTTTAAAGTGTTGGTGATAGGAGCCATCCTCGAAGGTTGCCACCTTATCAGCAGCCGGGGCGACCCTAATGGAACTGCCGAGATACTATGGTCCGTATACACACTTAACCTATCTGCCACTACTGGATATTGTTATGATCGCTGCATCTCCTCTAACTTATGGGTCAACACTAGGTGTAATCTTCTAATACTAGATGTTTATTTGGTAGGAACCTGTCGAATAGAGCCATCCAGTCTAGGCAGTATCAGTATCCAGCTTATCAGCAGCCTCAATCTTTTATGGATGCTTTGGCGTCTGTCGCCTACAACGATGAGCTCCACTGCGTCCCCAAACTCCTGTGCGAACTCACCTCATCTTCAAAACCAGCGCAGTCCATTCTACCTTTCGACATCAATTTGGATTCGCTCTCTGGGTATGTAATTTCATATCGAACATAATTCAGACCCACACATCTTCGGATTGGAATAAACAAATTACTCATTGCTCCAATTCCGAACGAAAGTTGCCTTTCTATTTTTTTTTCTCATCTTCACTGCTTCCAGTAATATTATTACTATTTTAGTTTTATATATAATTTTAAGATTTTTATAGTTAACAGTAAATTAATTAAATTAATATATATATTTTTTTTTAGTGTTTTGAGTACTTTGAATGCAGTTTCTCCGATTTTGTTATTTGGAAGAGCCGCACTACTCGGATATACTTCCGGTGAAAATGCGAATTTAGCATGCAGTAGGGCGTTCCCTCAGTGCCCCAACGATCCTAACCAATTGGTCAATTACCTGAACAACCACAACGGCGGTTTTTTCAGGTACTTCAATGGGCTTCCTCAGAGGTACAGAAGTAGTGAATCCAGGATCCTCTCGGGATCAGGGATAAATCCTACGGTAAAATTCCCGACGTACAACAGCTATTACTCAAATGACCATGGTGGTCGTAGATCAGCGAAATCGTTGTCGTTTCCTGGGGAGACGCGCGAACGACCTACGCATGATCCTAAGGCTTTCATCTTCCCCAGAGAGGGTGCGGATTACCAAAGGGTCAGAGGTGGTAAGAGTGTGAACTTCGGTCGGGTCAGAGGTGAGACATCCGGCCTGGACTTCCAGCGGGTTCGACCCAATCACATCGCAGATCCGCACATCTATCCAACCCGAACCGGGACCGGTGAACTCCTGTTCGACCGCGACTTCTAATTGCATCGGAACCACATCAAACTAACCGCGCTCCAAGCTAGTGTACTATTCCTCATGTTGATAACGTACGACCATATAATGCGTAAAAGAGCCTTATCAATCATTGTTAATGTAAATAAAGTCAAGCTGTCTGCGATAAATAAATTACTTTCGGATCAATAGGCAGCCTTTGTGCTAAACTTTTTCCCATTCTTTTCGCTCTGCGTTTCCTCTCCGTCTGTCTGCATCAATTATGTCTCTCTTTCTTTCTTTCTCTCACTCTTTATATCTGTCTCCATTTTTATTATCATTTTCGAGCGCGCCTCTTTTCTATTATTACTTTCCATATCAAAGGCTTCCCAATAATTAAAACCCAGGGAAGTCATAATTCATTGTCACGTATAGACGCAAATGAACGTAATAATAAGTAACGAATAACAAAAGGCCCTTTGAGAGGCGCCAACTTCAAAGTGAGGCGCAACACGTCACAGGACGAGCGTCCCCCCAATTCCCCGTTTTTATCCCTTAATACCTCGCAAATCCAGCCGCCGTATAACCAAATCGCGTAACAATCCCTCCCTTACACGCGTCCTTTTCGCACCGACTTACCGCCAAAGACGCCGTACAATAAAAAAAAGGACACAAATCCCTAAACCTCAACCGCCTCTAAGTCAAGCTATTTTTATTCAAATATTGTAATATTATATAAAACTACCTTTAAAGTATTATAACCAAACTGTAAATGTTTTCAGTATAAAAAAAATATCAAATAACAAATTATATAATGCTTTAATCAAACGATTATAATCCTATAAAAATATCAATTACAAAGCTAAGGTTAACGACCTTTAATGTATGTATTCAATATCTCTATAATTTTGTTTCCGAAATGTAATAAATACTATTAAGTAGATAAGGACGACATCTGAATGTTTATAATCAATTAGATTTGTATGTTTATAATCAAGGACATCCGTTACGTCGCTTTGTCGAATTCAAACAAAATGTGCACAACATTTGTACCGGAATTACCGTTATCAGCAACCAGATAATTGCATTTACTGATTCAGACGAGAAATTCTAAATTCACATTGTTTTACGCCTCGTAATTGAAATCAACATCTACATTAATCCTTTTTCAAAATAACAATTTTTTTTACTAAATTTATTTTCTACTAATGATGATTATTTTATTCTTATATTTTCATAACTTTTTGTTTAATGTTTGTAACATGATTTATTATTTTATTTAGTATTTATTACAATAATCAAATACAATACAAAATGTAAACAAAAATTTTAAAAACAAACTATAGATAATTCAAATTATTTACAACCAGTTCACATAAATTTTCCTGACGCCACGGAAATTCACACACGAATTATTGTCCCGAAAAAGTGGAGTAAATTTGTGTTAGTTCCTCGCATTTGTTTCCGTTCTTTAGAATTTGTCAGTAATATAAAGCTGTCTCCATTAAACGGTGTCCCAATTAAGCGAAATTGACTATATCTTTAAAATGTTCAGTTAAATGTATCAGAAACTCGAAGGACGTTGAAGAATATGGTAATTTTGTTTTTAAAAAGTATAAACTAAATACTTTGAAATCAATGCTTGTATATATGTATTAATCATTTATATAACAATGTGTTTGTTAATTACAGTAATATTGCGCTCATTGAAACGTGTTAAATTTGGAATGCGGTGGAAGGGCTTGATCGAAATTACATAGAAAATTTTGATTGTTTGCTTTCGGCATTGTCGAGGGATAAAATCACCCCAGAGTCGGTGGGACGTATCATGTCCTCGGATCTGACACCCCTTTGTGTCGCGAGATTATTCGCTCCTTCGTATCTTTGGAATTCCCGGTCTGGGCATTAGTGCGGATTTAATAATGGTGATTATGTAAACGGGTGTGTGCAGCGCGGTACGGCGGTCGCGTGGCGTCCTGATTTGGTGCGTTTGTTACTTGACGCCCAGGACGTTCACCGCTGTTTTTATTCCATTCAGGATTGCGTAAGATCGGATTGACGCGATATCGGTCCGAGGCATTGTCTGCTACAGCCCAATTGATTCACCACACCAAAGCAAACCCCTAATCCACCCTTACGAAATATGTAATTATTTGATAGAGAGACAAGCAGACTGAGCAGAAAAAAAAAGAAAGCAAGAATCAACAACAACCCCGACAACTACCACCACCACCACCGAGGAGTAAAAAATAATCAACTTTCCCTTGCGGTAATCCTCGGCGCACACCCGCACACAATGCAGGAGCAAGAAGGATAACAGCACATATGCAGTTAGCCAACATCAGGATCCGCTCAATCAATAACTAATTCACTAATCCGTGCCGTTCAATAAATACATTAACGTCGTCCTTTGTACTACAGTTTTGTTGGTCACGAACTTCATCCTTGTTTTGTATCCCTTTTATACTGCTTCGTTATTTGACGTGTTATTTCTTAACTCAATAAATCAAATAATGCTTAATGTTTTAATTACTATAATATCAATAAATCTTTTAATCGAAATGGACCAATAAATATTTTCAATTAAATAAAAATAATAATTAATATGTTTTATGACATAATTTCATTTGTTTTTGTATTTGCACTAATTTTATTACACAAAATCTTAAGTTAAGTTTCTTAATATTTATGCAACAAAATATAAGAAATATGAATTTCTATACAGTTTTTGAAAAATAGAATTGAATGACACAAGTTTCTTCGTGTTTAGAGTGGATGAAAACTTAAAAAAAATGTAAAATCAAAGTGAGTTTGTTCTTGCTTTGATGTAATTAATTTTACAAAATATAAATTAAAACTATTTTATACAATAAAACAATGAAAATGCTGAAAAAAGAATTAATTTATTTAAATAAATTTTGTAAATAGGAAAATGAAACTAGCTTATTAATAAATAGAATAAAATAAATTCTTTGTGTTTGCTGAAAATTGCAAAATTACAATGATACTATTCTTATTTGTAGTCAATTAGGATATAAAATAATTAGTAGCAAATTGCATTTGCCAGATGTTAGCAAAATACGTTGGGACTGAGCAAAAGTCCATCGATCATTAGGAAATGCGTGTAGCTAAAATCCCTTTGGGCGTTTCGAATTCAGGAAGCCAAAGCGACGATAATCTGTCCGAAGAGAGAAGAAGAAAAAAAAGAACACATAATAAGAGCGAGGTAATTAGAAAGTATACTGAAATTGGGGTAACGTTAATAATATTTTTTTTCTTTCTTATATATATATTTTTTTTTGCCTCGTCCTCGATAATCCGGGCATAATAACGATGTATCCTCAAATAGGATTATTAAAATGAATCTCGCTCGCAGTTCGTTCTCTCTCAGTATCCCAGCATCGTGATTCCGTTTTCTCCCTCACCGTGAAAGATACAGGTATAATCCTATCAAGGAAATGTAAAATGTATGCAAATTCGTCATTCACGAGGTCTTGTCAAACAATTTTATTAAATTCGATATAGCCGCTAGACAATGGCTTTGCCTATATCGAATGGATTTCGTCATAGGATTTAAGAATTGCGAGGAGGCGCACGGTGTGATAGGAATCTGACGATCCGGGCATAATCTAAATGGAATTGAAACCCCCTCGTATTCGTTAAGTTGACAAAAACGAAAGAAATTATGTATGGGATTGGGTGAGAGGTTGTCCTTGTGTGAGAGGGAGAAGGATAGGAATGATGCCTCTAGTATTTGATTTTGTTCCGTGTGACAGATTAGTCCGGGGCTTAATGTCAACATCATGATTCAAATTACAAGTCCGGGGTTAACCGTGTATGGAGCTCGACTTGGGGTGGCTCGGTGTATCCAAAACGGCGACCGGAAAATGCAAATGTTGCCTCGCGGTGTAATTATTCAAATTACGCGCGCGAGCTGCATCTTTACTTTACTTCCTTTTATTTATTTTTGCTTATGTTTTTGTTCTCCTCGTTGTTAAGGTTTTATTATCATTTTGCGCTAATATCCCTGGAAAGCTACCGTGCAATTAGCGCAATTATCTCCGGGTGGAATCACATATTCTGAACTTAACAATAATAATTTCCACTTTGCCTCCGTTTTCCTCTGTTCCATTATTACATGTACCACTGTTTGCAGACTACTCTTTATTCTACTTTTTTTTTTGTGCAACGTTTTTCCCCTCTCTCTTTATACTCGAAACAAACCTCGGCGTTATTTTGTTATCTAAATTATACAGTTTGTGTGTAATTTAGCAGTTAATGAAAAGCCTCATTTGCGTCGGCGAATGTTCATTCAATTTCGCATTTATTTTTATTTTTTGCTGAACAAGAAAAATAGAGAACGCATCAAAATGCACACTTCAATTGCAGCCAATTATAACCTAATTATTAACCTCCTTCGACGACACCGAACACAGTCATTTCACTCCTAACGACTCTCTGGTGCAACCTATTACGCATTTGCTTCCGATGATTTATAGCTTGTATATACTGTACCTTGGAAACAACGCTTCGCTTTATTCAGGCTGTATGCAATTTGCATACATGTTGAAATGAAGGAAATTAGATGCCTGGTTATCTCATCTGCAATATTTAAGTAGTTAGTCGTAAAATATTGCTTAGGACGTTTGTAATATTATATGTCAGTTCGAAGTGCGGTAATGTTACTACTACTATTACCACTACAAAGCAAACTTCAGAAATAATTGCATTTTAGATAGACGGAACATTCAATTGGTTTCTTTGTTTTTTTTTTCATCTCAAGACTTAAGTGATTTTTACTTCATTTCTTTACTATTAACAAATGTGAATATTACAAATAATATTACATTATGTTCACATCATTATATTAAAATTAAATTTGTCTCTTACTTGTTTTTTTATTTATATTATTATTATTACACCTATCCCTCGTTTTACACGGTTTACATTCTTTACACTTTTTTCGCTTTTACACGGTTTAAAAAATAAATTAATTAAAATCACTCATTTTACACGGTACTTTATTTACACTTTTTCGATATTACATGGTTTAAAAAATAATTCAATTAAAAATAAAAGTTGAAAATATTCTATCCCTCGTTTTACACGGCACTTCCATTAGTCGTTTTCGCTTTTACACGGTTTAAAAAATCTTCGATTTGCACTCAAAAAGTTATAATTTCGATTTACACGTTTTTCTCATAAACTATGTACCGTGTAAATCGGGGGATAAGCTTAATTTATAAATTAATTGTAATAATACTGGTAATTGATTTATAAA